TGCTTCTATTTCAATTATTCTTATATATGTGTGCGTGTGAAAACAGTAGGACGTAGGAGGGCCTGGCTAATCAGTGGTGAACCCTCCCAGTGGTTTCGCCAGATTCCATCCTACTATATCGAATATCATAAGCAAATTCTTCCAATACAATATTAGAACTTCAAAAAGCAGCATGGTTGAATAAACTGGCGAAATCACCTACATTACTGATGAGCTAAACCCTCTCGGTCCATTTCTTCGCTTCTTGGAGAGTAGAAAGTGTTTTTTCTTGAAAAAATATCATGCATACTTGTTCAATTACATTTAAATTATGGCGTATTAGTCCTTTGTGTTAATAATAATATAGAATATATTTATAGTTATTCATTTAAAAATATTTTCCCGACTGATATTATGTCTTTAGAGTAAAAAAAAAGCGTTATAATATTATGCGAAATTTGAAATTTAATATTTACCCGGCTGACTTATATCATGTCTTATTACACCAGTAATTCTGTTTACAGAAGAACCTACTGGTTGATAATATGCTTAGTATCACTTCAGTGTTAAGTGAGTAACACTAAGTTGGTTTCTACTCATTTTTAAGTTTAATTTGAATGTTTGTAGTTATGCTTTATGGCTAAATTATGTTGTGCTAACCTAAAGTTAAATTAACATAGTCAAAACTAAGGATTAAATTGTATATGTACTAGGGCCAACAATGAGCACTTATATCATGTCTTATTTGTGTTTCCAAAAGAAGCGTTATAATTTTAAGATAAATTTGAATTGTGTTATACATTTTGAAATATCTCCCATGTCTGACTTATATATTACTTATTTCTTAATATTACAAGGTTTTGAAGTGTGGAACTATTTATTGGTACTTTTATGTGTCATATATATGAGCCTGTTTGTACATAGAGCTATAAATGGGTCTTTATAGCCTCTAGAAACTATTAAATATGGGGAATGAAGGGCACAGAAAGGACCATTAGTAACTTATTTGTTGTAGTCCTGGCATGGCGCTGCGTTGAGGTAACAGCTGGGACAAATGGAGTCAATTTATGAAGAATCGATACTGAGGGTGGGTGTTTTCACAAGAGGAATTCTTTCTCGGTGCTCATATGGTAGGGATACAACATTCCTAAATCAATAACAAGGATCTCAACGTAATCAATTATATTTACATAATGAAAATGTCAAATTCAACTGATGAGTTACCGAACGTTTTCTCGGCAGATCTGTGTCTTTTCGGTTTCACTGAATTGTTTCCCAAGTTAGAAACCACACATTTCTGTTAACATAAGGCCATTTCACGACTACAATGTCTGAGAATAGCCTGCTTCTAACCTCCTAATAGCTCTCCCTTCTGAAACATATGATAAACAATTATTTGAACTGTATATGTTCGTTGCTTTCAAATTCTGAATGTTTTTGAAATAATAAAAACTATGAGTAACTATCGTGAGCGAGCACATCAAGAATATTTATAAAATATTGAATATATGTACATTTTATTCAGGTTCTGTGAATCAACTTATATTGTAACTGATAATTTATCAGATATTTTTTAAAAATATTTGTTAATTGTTTTAGCCTTAATAAATAGGGAGTTCTATTGAAAAAGGTGTTTGTTTAATTAATTATGAACCTCTCTGTTTATATCCAATATACATATTCAAAATCTTATGGAATATGTTGAAATACTAATCTAAACGACAGGTATATATATATATATATATATATATATATATATATATATATATATATATATAGAAAATAGGCAGAAGTAGACAGGGAATGGAGGCAAAAAGATTCAGCAGATATAGATAAGATGAATATTCTTCAAGACCATGCAAGGCGAAATAACGCCAATTAAATGGATTAGAAAGATAATCCCTATCACTTATATACATGTACTCATATACTCATGGACAAAACTTAAGGAAGTAGGAAGCCTTTGATGTCGCTAATTGTCTCTTTTTTTTTTTTTTTAAGTAGACAGAGGCACTTTTGTCCACAATTGGTTATCTTGTGTGCTCTCAATGAAGATCACAGTGTATCAAATGTCTTTCAGAGTTATTGTCTGATTTCCGATATATATGCTAAAAAGATAAACATTCCTTAAATATTGTCCATCAGTTTATATATACAAAGGGACTTTCCAAAAATAATAATTTCTGGAATTACGTTCAAATAGAAACTTAATCCGTTAGTTATGTCTCGATGGTTTGTTGGATTTTGAACAAGCCTTTGTCTACACTCATAACTCAGGTTTTTTTTTTGTTGTTCTCTTGTGAAAATTACAAGAGACTATGAGAAATAATACAAAAAAATCTGTTACCTATTATAAAGGGGCCTGAGTACAACCTGCAATTTCAATTTGGGAAATAAATATTATATAACAAATGTTTGCGGGAGGATGGCATCCGTGTACCTTTCTCTTTAAAAATACATTAAAACAATGTATTTTGTTTAACATTCCAGTACAAAACGAAATTCGGCTATAGTCGGTACCATATGATGCAGGTTGGCGTTTGTCTTAGTATTCCAGAACTAGTGTTGTGGCTTATTCTTCATTACCATTATTATATCTATCAACACTATCACGGGGTGAAAACAAAATACGTTGTTTCAGAGCATTTCTAGATTGAGAATTGCCTATTTAGTTCATAAAGATTATTTTATTCCACATAATTACCCAAAAATTATTTCTCAATTGTTGATATTCATTATTTAATTATCGTATGGATTTTATTTTTCGAAATGATGTTTTAAGAAGGTTGTTTCTTTTTTAAATATGCTAAAACTACTATATATGCACACTCATTTTAGTATTCATAGTGCAACGACTTTATAAATAACTGTTAAGTAGATATATAATGTATAAAATAAAAGGACTTAAAAACGCGAATGTTTCTTTTAAACATAATACAAATTTATACTGTCCTTACTGCGATGAAAAAATATATTGGGAGGGCTTGGCTCATCAGTGGTGAACCCTCCCAGCGGGTTCGCCAATTTAATCCACCAGACCGCTTCTCAGAGCTCTAATACTGTATTGGATCATTCTGATTTTATATGCTATACTGAAGGATGGAATCTTAGAAATGGTTTTCAAGTAAACTATGGACATAAGCTTATAGGACAGTAGATTTACATTCAAATATTTGCTTCGAGCAATGCTCTTCAGCAAACAATAAAGACAAGGCCAGTTAGGCATAAATTAACACAAAGCAATAACGCGCCAGAGCTCTGAGCTCTGAGAAGCGGTCTGGTGGATTAAATTGGCGAAACCGCTGGGAGGATTCACCACTGATGAGCCAAGCCCTCCCAATATATTTTTTCATCGCAGTAAGGACAGTAGAAATTTGTATTATGTTTAAAAGAAGCATTCGCGTTTTTAAGTCCTTTTATTTTATATGTATAGATGGCGCGTTATTGCTTTGTGTTAAGATATATAATGGTTTATAAATGAGAAGAAATGGAATAAATTAACACTTGATTTTAAAAATTCTCTGATATATCGTGAACCATCATAATATTGTCAAGTATCTCTACAATCTTAGTCAGGAAACTCTATGAGATGCCTGTCAATTATCGGTGGATTCCACTATGGGACGACATACAGGTGCGAGGGGTTCTTGGAATGTTATTGACAGATAAAAAAAACAGACGCCTTCGTGGCTAAAAAAGCCCGTTGTGATGATTTTTATTTATTATTATCCCTAGTACACGTGGTACTGGCCATGATAATCATGGTGGGTTAAGTTGGCGACTGCTTTAAACTGTAAGTACCTGTCCACACGTGAAAAGTAGTTCAACTTTTTCACTTACAAATGTGCCAAAATCCCGTTTGTTTACTTGCACTCGCTGAAGATGTTGGAATTTTGCAAAATTTGATGGACATTGGAGTATTTCTTTTATTAGAAAAAAAGTGTCCAATGCGGGATTCAATCCCGGGTTGTAGCGATTACAAACCAACTGTTTACACCACCCTTTCACCTACCCGATACCAATTGTGATGATAATATTGATAAGTTGTTTTTTAAAAATTGACTCTCTGTCTATAAAGACTTTTGTACATAAAACACTTTGGGTATCTTAAAAGCAAATACCCCCACCTTTATAATGAATTATTTCCAAACTTGCACCCAATTTATTGATCTCCGAAAAAAATTCCATTAGGAATTTTAGACAACGGTATATAAACCATCGAACGAATAATCCACATACAAGTTACAAACAGGAAGTTGAAGGCAAACACATCGTTACACATTGAGATGTTCTAAATAAATAGCAGAGAGAAAACAAACCTGGAAGAATAAAAAAAGATATAAATAAAGAGCTAAGTAGAATAATGAGAGACGACCTGGAAAAGAAGAAGAAGAAAAAAAAAAAAGAATTAGATTTGAGGAAGGTAAACCGTTACAGAATTCGAAGGATTTCTATTTGAGAAGTTTTATCAAAGAAAAATGAACCCCTCCCTTCCACCTTTTTTTCCTATCTTGCAGCCATTCAACAAGTAACCTGATTTTGATTCTGCGCAGTGACGTCATACAAGGATGACGTCAGAGCCGGGAGCCAATCAAAGGCCATCGATTATTAGGTTCGAGAAAAGTGGGTGGTGGTGGCTCGAAATGAGGTTTACCACTATTCATTGGAAAGAATGGAGAGGTTGAAACACCGCAGGACAATTTGGACGCTGGAGTTGTGTGAATGGAATTGTTGATTCAGAGAGAGGTCGGGAGGAGTTTAAACAACTCGATGTGCACTTTTAAGGAAACTATCTTCAGCGCTATTGCTTTAATTACTAAAACATATATGATTATATATTTAAAATATATTATAAATATATGGTATATATTATAAACAATACTTAAAGTTGCACCGCATAAGTTTCTTTTCTATGAAAAATCAATATTTATTTTAAAGAGAAATATCTACTATTTCTAACTTTTTGGGATGACGTATGAAAGGGTGAAAATATGAAGAGTAATGGCGAACGGAAAAATAAAAGTGGGCGGGAATCGAACCCACAACCTTCCGCTTACCGGGCAGATGCCATGTCCACTAGGCTACCCTGGACGTATTTTTCCGTTCGTAACTAATACTTAAAGTAACTTATAATACATTATAAAGGACTGCGGCGTATGATTATAAACAATACTTAAAGTTGCACCGCATAAGTTTCTTTTCTATGAAAAATCAATATTTATTTTAAAGAGAAATATCTACTATTTCTAACTTTTTTGGATGACGTATGAAAGGGTGAAAATATGAAGAGTAATGGTCTATATATAATTGGATGACGTATGAAAGGGTGAAAATTTATTTTTCCGTTCGCCATTACTCTTCATATTTTCACCCTTTCATACGTCATCCAATTATATATAGACCATTACTCTTCATATTTTCACCTTTCATACGTCATCCAAAAAAGTTAGAAATAGTAGATATTTCTCTTTAAAATAATATTGATTTTTCATAGAAAAGAAACTTATGCGGTGCAACTTTAAGTATTGTTTCTAATCATACGCCGCAGTCCTTTATAATATATAGTATATATTGTAAGAGATTATATAGATCTATTTCATATCGAGAGATGCGAATTCTTTGCAAAATCTATGCGAAAATTGAAAAATAATTTTGAAAAGTGACATGTATTTTTTCCTGACATTCGTTAAGCTTAGAACTAGTGCATAGATGCATTCTAAAAAGGGGAAGGAAAAAAGGATGCGCCGATAAATATATGCAAATTGAACAAAATTTGTTATTTAACGACATTTTAATAGAGATTTCAATTTATCACAAATTGACGACCAATGAATCGCCATGTAGCAATGTAACGCATCTTAATTAAGTAACAGGCAAATATATATAAGTAAAGAGATTGAAATCACAAAAAAGTCAAAAAGTCTTTCTACTAAGTCTGGTCTTTCTACTACTATAGACGATAAATATATTTCTCAAACACGTCGACACATTATGCAAATATGTCAGCATTTGAAAAAAAGACACAGATTTTGAGCTAGAAGTTGGTTGGTTTAATCAGATGATTGCTCGATATTTAGATAGGAACGATGTCGCTATTCGAAGATGTTGGCAGGAGTGGCTTAACCATTACCGAACACAGCGTCTTGAAGTCAGATGTCAACTTAGAGAGACAGCTTCACGTAAGCACCGATCAATAACCACAAATCGATATTCACAGACCATATTCATCATTAACAACGCCCCGATATATAGCTGGTGCAGCATAGACCGAGTGGATCATTAATAGATGGCTCAGAGAACAATGGATCAGCTAACGGCGTCCCTTGCGACGAGTTCCATCAACATGTGCAACAGACAAGCCTGTGAACAGTTATGTCGGACTCATGAACAAAATTTGTTATTTAACGACATTTTAATAGAGATTTCAATTTATCACAAATTGACGACCAATGAATCGCCATGTAGCAATGTAACGCATCTTAATTAAGTAACAGGCAAATATATATTCAATAACTGAAATAAAATTTCTTTCAATGATGAATTTACTTATTTTTTGAGGTGCATTCTCATGGGTCTTGATCTCACAACCGACAACCCGCTAAAGCAAGGTGGATTGTCTGCTGCGATTGGTCGGTGGGACGCATGCGCGTGTTCACTGGTCAGTTGTTAAATGGAAGAATTGGTTCCATTAGAGAGTGTAACATAAAGAGAGAGAGAGAAAGAAGAGAGAATTTGTTAATGACATTTTATAGTATTTAAAATGAATATTCAAAATATTCTGAAATAAAACTGATCTAATTTATTTCAATCTCATTATTATTATTATTATTACTCATTAATCGTTTTATTATCTGGTTTAGAAAATATTCTCCGTCGCATATTCAAATAGCTATTTCCAAGTCAATTACTTTCCCTAACTGTATAGAACATTTAAAAATAATATTTTGAATCTAAAACAGCTCTTTAACATATACTGCCATAAAAAAAGCAAGGAATTGTCGTGATATACCTTAAAAATTGCGTTCATTATGTTGATGGAAGGGACATCAAATGGACCTATAAGATGATTCGAAGATGAAGCAATAATGTCTATTTCAGAAAACTATCATTTGGGTGTGGTTAGATAAATTGCATTGGTCGTGTTTTACCGCTCACGCGATCAGGAATTGATGCCATAAAAAATAGTCTTTTTATATATTTTTCAGAAAAATAGGTAATAATATTATTAGAGGACACTATAATAGTCAAATTTTTATTTTGCGTTTTTTTTTTTTAATTCCTATATTAAATTAGACAGTTCTATATATGTCATAAATAGTACACAAAATTGAAAATGTACTTGATTTAGGTGGATAAATTAAGAAAAAAGGCCATCTACGTCCAATGATTTTCACAAGTTGATCCAAAACCTTTCTAAATTGCACCTGTTTGCGCCTAGTTATGTAAATAACTTGCTAGGCTGCATTGATTTATAATCATGTAGATTTTTCTTTCTTTCTTTTAATTATGTAAATAAATATGTATATAAAATGAGTGAAAGATGCAATAAAGTGAGTCAGTTAGCTAAATCGAGTGAGGCGTCCTTCCTCTATTCAAACAGCTTGCTACATCGCATTCTTGCGAAGGGACAACATTCTCGGTAGTCAATCCGCCGGTCTGGTCTCATAAAGTACAGTCAACAACAAGCTCTGCCACATATCGTCATCTCCTGAGACCAGACTATTTAGGCTGAAGGAGCGAAAGGAAGTCCTGGCTAACATTGTCAGGAACCAAGCTCCAACAGCACCAAATGTCAGGATTCTCCAGCGAGCTCAGAACACATCATGCAATGCATCGGACATTTCCGAACAGACATCTACACCGACCCAGCTGTGGTCATCGAGGCGATAAAGAGGCCTTCAGGATATGGTCTAACTTGAAGTCCAGACCTGGGACAAGAGAAAAAAAATTTTTTTTTTTTGCTTATCCCTAGTACACGTGGTACAGGCCATGATAATCATGGTGGGTAGTTAGCGACTGCTTTTTACTGTAGACGCACCACATGTCTACACATGTGAAAAGCAGTTCGACTTTGCACTTACAAATGCCAGAGCCCCGTTTGGTTACTTGCACTCGCTGGTGGGGTTGGACTTTTGCAAGAATCGGGGGCCATTGGAGCATTTTTTTTTTTAAACAGAAAAAAGTGTCCAATGCGGGAATCGAACCCGGGTCCTAGTGGTCGAAAACCAAACGGTTTAACCAGCCTTCCACCGACCCCCTGAGAAAAAAAAATAATAAAAAAGGATACTCCTGATCATGAAACTAAATGTATCTTAAACTTGTGCCATCTGACGGATTAAATATCAACTAATCGTTGATTTATAATTATTTCAGAATTGGACAAATATTCTTTCTTGATTAATCGAATAGTTATTATTTATTCCGAAAGATGGCACAAGTCATCAGTAACCTTTAGTTTGCACGATCAGGAGAAACCTTTTTTATTAGTTCTATACATATTGAAGAAAAATGTAACCTGTAATCCTAGTTCTATACATATTGAAGAAAAATGTAACCTGTAATCCTAGTTCTATACATATTGAAGAAAAATGTAACCTGTAATCCTAGTTCTATACATATTGAAGAAAAATGTAACCTGTAATCCTAGTTCTATACATATTGAAGAAAAATGTAAACTGTAATCCTAGTTCTATACATATTGAGGAAAAATGTAACCTGTAATCCTAGTTCTATACATATTGAAGAAAAATGTAACCTGTAATCCTAGTTCTATACATATTGAAGAAAAATGTAACCTGTAATCCTAGTTCTATACATATTGAAGAAAAATGTAACCTGTACTCCTAGTTCTATACATATTGAAGAAAAATGTAACCTGTAATCCTAGTTCTATACATATTGAAGAAAAATGTAACCTGTACTCTTAGTTCTATACATATTGAAGAAAAATGTAACCTGTAATCCTAGTTCTATACATATTGAATAAAAATGTAACCTGTACTCTTAGTTCTATACATATTGAAGAAAAATGTAACCTGTACTCCTAGTTCTATACATATTGAAGAAAAATGTAACCTGTACTCCTAGTTCTATACATATTGAAGAAAAATGTAACCTGTACTCCTAGTTCTATACATATTGAAGAAAAATGTAACCTGTACTCCTAGTTCTATACATATTGAAGAAAAATGTTACCTGTACTCCTAGTTCTATACATATTGAAGAAAAATGTTACCTGTACTCCTAGTTCTATACATATTGAAGAAAAATGTAACCTGTACTCCTAGTTCTATACATATTGAAGAAAAATGTTACCTGTACTCCTAGTTCTATACATATTGAAGAAAAAATGTAACCTGTGCTCCTAGTTCTATACCTATTGAAGGAAATTTAAACCTGTACCTGGAATTTTTAGAATTCTAATAAAAATTCCTATTGGAAGAATAACAAGCAAATCTCTACTATTTCATCAGATCTAAATACAAACCTAAATTTGTACATAAACCTTTATCAAAACTTTCCTTTTATACCTGGTTCTCCTGGAACAATAAATGACTAGAGTTTAAGAAAAAGCCTTTATTTATTATGATGTGGATATAAAATAATAGTAATTTTGAAGACTTATCTAAGTAGGAAAAAAATTAGTAGGAAAAATGCGTAAAACTTTTTCGATCGATTCTTATTTAATACTGATGTATCAAATTTATTCGTTATTATAAACTTGTTTTATATTAACTATATTTAATATATTTACAATATCTTTATTTATAGACATCTTCGTATAGCTATTATTAAGGAAAATGGGGAGATCAGTAAAAAATAAACGCGTAAGGAAAGGAGCTATGTAGTAAAATATTTATTATTTTGTGTGCACACACATTAACAATTCTAATAATTTATATTTTGCATCGCGGTAAACATTCTTCATTACCTCTTTGGTGTTCTTTACATTTTAATTTGTTTGTTAAATTAATAAATTTCCGTGGTGTGTTATTCTAAGGTGTTTATCTTTCTTAATTTTATACATGGCAATATTTTGAAATAAGACCTATATATACAATAATTCCATATATAAAGAGAGTAAAAA